GTGCTCCCCACAGACTAGCTGGCGGAGCCCAAGAAGTCCCACCGGCAGAGCCACCGCAAGAAAGTGCTCCCTGAGATCTACCTGACCCGCCTGCTGTCCACCAAGGTGGGCCCGCCGTGCGGGTGCGGGGCTCAGCTCTGGCCTGGGGAGGGCCTGCTGCCGGGGAGGGGCGTGCACTTTTCCCCGTTGGCCCCGAGAGTCAGATGAACTCGTGGGACAGAGCCCGCGGGCCTAGGGTGCCCCCTGCGAGGGACTCACCGCCGGCATATTGCCGATAGGTGCCTCGCATGCCCGCCTGGGCCCCAGGGGTCGGCGATGTCCCCAGGGCCACTGAGCTCGGGCGGCACAGCCGGCACCCCGCAGCCACGTGGTGCACACGTGTTCTCAGCCCTGGCCTGGCCCGTCCTGTCCGTGCACTGTGAGGTGGTTTCACAAGCCCTTCCACAGTCAGGGGACCCGCCTGTGCCACACGGCTTCTCCACGCCGAGGGCCAGCCCGAGCCACCGAGGGTGCCCGCTGCCGTCCGCCTGTGGCTCAGGCTGCTGGCGGCCGCCCCGCCCCCACAGGGCACGCTGCAGAAGTTTCTGGACGACCTGTTCAAGGCCATCCTGAGCATCCGCGAGGACAAGCCCCCGCTGGCTGTCAAGTACTTCTTCGACTTCCTGGAGGAGCAGGCCGAGAAGAGGGGCATCTCGGACCCCGACACCCTGCACATCTGGAAGACCAACAGGTGGGCCGGCGGGAGGGGGCGCTGGGCACGCCTGTGAGCTGCGGGGCAGCAGCTGGGCGCCCCGAGCTGGCCCGACCCCGCCTGCTCGCCTTCCCCAGCTGAGTGTCCTCGGGTGAGTGACAGCCTCTCGCTGCCATTCCCCCCAGCCGTAAAGCGAGGCCCGTCGCAGCGGCCTCACCTGTAAGAATGAACTAGAACAACACCGAGGAGTTTTCTGTAGGCACTGTCCCCCCATCGTTCTCCCTCCTGACCCCTTGGGCCAGCACCGTCAGCCCCATCTTACAGACAGGGACACTGAGGCCCAGGGGGTGGCCCTGGGGACAGCAGAGCCAGGCTGGACACCCCGTAATCTGAATCCCATGCCCAGCCCACAGCCCTCCTTGAAGGCATGGCTTAGCCTTTTGGCGGGGGGTGGGGGGGGTCACACCCCATCCCCCACTGAGAATTTGCTGAAATGCTCAGAAAATGCCACTGGCCCAGAAGTTTCTGTGCAGTGGCAGGAGTTTTCCAGAGCACTGGGGGAGTGGGGCGTAGCCCCAGGGGGTCCATGGCCCCAGGCTGCCGCGTCACTGGACGGCCCTGGACTTGGGGGCAGGGGCAGTTGCCAGCTCTCTCTCCGGCCTCCCAAGGCCATGGCCGAGGCTCCAGCCACCCTGTCTACCCTGCCTCAGCTGCTGTGTGGGGTGGCCCTGTTACTGCTGGACTTCCTGCTGCAGGAGGAGGCTGGGGGAGGGAAGGGGGAAGCGGGGAGGGAGAAGAGAGGGGAGTGGAGGGGAGTGGAGGGGAGGGGAGGAGCCAGCGCTGCCCAGTAGGCGGCCTCTAATGAGAGCCAGACCTGGCTGGGCCCGGCACCCTGCCGCTCTGGCAGGACCCTGCTCTAGGCCACCCTGCTGGCCGAGGCGGAGCGGCCCATGTCCCCGAGGTGGCATCTCGCGTGACTGGGCTCCCCACACCCCCGGGGACGAAGCCCACTCTGTGCCCCTGCCCCGGCCCCCGTGGGTGGGCTCCCGGCTCACAAGGCCTGTGTCGCTGCCGCCCGCAGCCTTCCGCTCCGGTTCTGGGTGAACATCCTGAAGAACCCGCAGTTCGTCTTCGACATCGACAAGACGGACCACATGGACGCCTGCCTGTCGGTCATCGCACAGGCCTTCATCGACGCCTGCTCCATCTCCGACCTGCAGCTGGGCAGGGTCAGGCGGGCAGCGGGGGCCGTGCGGGCGCGGAGGCGGGGACCAGGGAGCGGGGCTGTCAGACGGCAGAGATGCCAGAAACCGCCTCGCCCCGACCAGCCACACCTGCGTCAGCTGTGCCAGCCGGCCCTGGGCAGGTGAGGACGCCGGTGTGGACGTCAGCTGGGCCCAGGCAGCAGCCCTGAAGGGCAAGCACCATCGAGCAGGGCATTCAGTGCCCACCGGGCGAGGGGCGCAGGTGCCCAGGACCCGAGATGCACACAGGAGGGAGACGCCCAAGGCTCGGTCTGTGGCCACAAGACCCAAGTGGCTTTAGCGGGTGGTGGTGAGAGGGAAGGACATTCCCGGCTGAGGGCCCGGGGCCTGGCAGGAGCAGGGACGGGCTCTGGGTGCCGTGAGCACGACGCGGTCGGACGACTGGACCTGGCACTGCAGGACTGGGTGTGCGGGTGGGGGTGTGCGTGGTCCTGCCTTTAGTCACGGATTGCAGAGAAAAAATGCCACTGCTTGTCACGTACTAGCGCAGAAGGCAGGGGACCGTGACAGGGAACTGGGAGTGTCGTTGGCACGTCCTGCTTTCAGGCGGGCGCGATGTGGGGGGAGGCACCCCACTGAGCCACCATTTGGACTTAGAAATCTTAGCCAAGACCAGGAACCCCAACGAGGACGCAAGCCGGGGCTGCACGGGGAAGCAGGTCTCTCCCTCGAGGTCATCGCCATGACTGTCCAGTGAAAACCAGGGCAGGGGTGAGATGGAAAAGGCAGCTGGGGGGGGGTAGGCAGCAGGTGGCACGGTGCTTCAGGCTCTGGACTCCCACATGGCCGACCGCAGTTCGAGTCCCAGACCCAGTGGCTTGAAAGTCACGCTGGGCACTTGTGCATGTCCCAGGAGGAGAAAGGAGGAGAAGAGAGAGTGGTGTGGCCTTCCCCCCCGCAGGTGACTACTCACTGTCCCCTCACTGTCTCTGTCCTTTTCCCTGGTGAACGCACGCGCCCTGTGGCGAAAACCTTCGTGCATAAATTAAATTAAAGGCTGCCGGGGGCCTAGCTGCGGTGGTGCCGTGTGGCGCGGCTGCTACCCCACGGGCTGGGGCCAGGCGGCACATCTGTGTCCCACCCAGAGGCCAGCACGGTGGCACATGCTTGTCATCCCAGTGACCCAGGCTGCCACCGCAGGAGGATTATGAGTTCAAGTCTGGTGTGGGCAACACAGACTGTCTGACACAGCCGCGTACAGTGGCGTGCTCCTCGTCCCAGCCGGGGCCCAGGCAGGGGCCGTGTGACACAGCCACACCCTGTCTTAAAAAAGGACAAAAGGGCCGAGGAGGGGGCAAGGCCAGAGCTGGCATGGGACATTCAGGGCTAGGTGACTCCTCGGCTGGCGAGGCCATCACCGGCCATCGGTGTGGCCATGGGGACGAGGGCTCATGCAGAGAGAAAGGCCGACTGTCCGTCCGGCATCCCGCGTCTGACCTGTGGCCCCTCTGCGCCCAGGACTCGCCCACCAACAAGCTCCTGTACGCCAAGGAGATCCCCGAGTACCGCAGGGCCGTGCAGCGCTACTACAAGCAGATCCAGGACATGACGCCGCTCAGCGAGCAGGAGATGAACGCCCACCTGGCTGAGGAGTCGCGGGTGCGGGGCAGCAGGCGACCGGCCGGGGAGGGACACCGGGTCGGACCCTGGGCATTCCGGGGCTGCGTGCTTTCATCCGTGTCTCTTTCCCAGACGAGACTGGAATCAGGGCCCGGGAGCCCACAGGCGCCTGTGTACTTAACCACGGGGGCTTGGCAGGGAGTGGGGCTGGGTCTCTGCAGGCCAGCTGGGGTGACCGGCCCTCCCTCTTCCTCCTCGCTCCCTGTAGAAATACCAGAACGAGTTCAACACCAACGTGGCCATGGCGGAGATTTATAAATACGCCAAGAGGTATCGCCCGCAGGTGAGTGCCCGCCGCGACTCTGCCCAGGGACTCGCCTCCAGGTGCTCACACCGCAGGGCTGGTCGCTGGCAGAGGCTGGTGGGTGGCATGTGTTCCCCGGTGTGACCTCCGCCGGGGCTGGGTGTGGCCAGCTGACCCGCTGCTCCACCCCCCAGATCATGAGCGCCCTGGAGGCCAACCCCACGGCCCGGAGGATGCAGCTGCAGCACAAGTTCGAGCAGGTGGTGGCGCTGATGGAGGACAACATCTACGAGTGCTACAGCGAGGCCTGAGGCCGAGGCCGGTCAGCTCCGCCGCTGGGAGAAGCCGCCACTGGCCACCGGCCTCCACGTCACCTGCTTCCCGGGCCTGCAGGAGAACTGAGCACGTGGACCGGGGCTGGGGGCGGGTGAGGCGCCCCTCTGAGCCAGGCAGAGGCGCCCCAGCCCCGGCCCCTGTGGACACTGCTGTTCCCTCCGTCCACCCAAGCTGATCTCTGGGGTGGGAGGCTTGAATGCCACAGTCATGCCGGGGAGGCGGCCCCGTCCCCCAGCACGGCCTGGGCTGTGCCCACTAGGCGGCCCAGCACAGATTGGAGACGGGGAGCCTGCTTGGCCCGGAGGCTGCAGGCCAGAACTACCTCATCCGAGCGGTGAAGGGGAGGCCTCTTGGATCCCGCCCTCGAATGGTTTCTGCTTCAGCCACCAAAGCGTGGCCGTCTCCCGTGTGACCCTGGCCACGGGGTTGGAGTGGAGTGTCTAGGGTGGGCGGTGCCCACGGCTGGGGCGGGACGGAGGCTCTGCAGGCCTCCCTGAGCCAGGGAGGGCAGAGGACAGGGGGCAGGGGGAGGGGATGGGGCGGGGGGGCTGGTCTCCAGGGCAGGGAGGTGAAGACGCACCGAGGCTGTAGCTGGGCTACCCGATCTTGCTGGACGTGTTTCTAAGGACAGCACCTTTTGTCATTTCGGTTTTTTTGTTTTTTAGAAAGCTTTTCTATATTAAAAACTTAAAACGCGCCAACTGTGAACAGCTGCCACCCATGCAGAGGTCCCGGGGAGGGTCCCCAGGGGCTCCCGATGTAACACTGGAAACATGGCTCCAGGGGACCGCAGACCTGGCAGAGCCCCCTCTGTCCCCCGAGGACACGCCCATCCTGGTCTCGTCCAGCCTCCTCACAGTTGGCCCAGCCAGTGCCAGGCTGGAGGGGGGGGGGACCCGAGGCTCTAGA